GGGACTTAAGAGGGTGTTCAATAAGCATTTCGGTCCACAGAGTCGGGTACAATGACTGCCCCATAGCTGGTCCTCCAGGAGCCCTCTGGGGCTGGGATTGGCTTGCCCTGTGCAGACAGGGCCCTCGACGCTGGAGCTGGGTACCCCTTTGCCCTGAGGACCCTGGCACCCCTGGATGGGAGCCAGCCCCCGTATGTCCAGATGGGAGAGGGTCTCCTTTATCCCCACGCTCCGTGCTTCCGAGGGAGAAGTGGGGCTTTCGTAAGGAGAGGGTATGCTCATTGTGAGTGGGCATAACGCGTGTGTGAGGTGGCTGCCGTCTCCGAGTGTCCCCTGGGCCCGAGTAGGCTTGCTCTGCTCGTCTTCCTCCTGGTTGGTTCCCAGGATTCCGAGTGCTCTTCATCTTGGGTTGTCCTGAGCGAGCAGACCAGAACATCCTCCGAAATACTTTTTGATGGTGACCAACACTTGTAAATATTTTAGGCAGTTGGTAAATGTCCTCATTTCACTTCAAAAGTGCAGTGTGGGGTCGGTGTACAAGTGGCAGGGATCTGTCCAGTGAGAATTAAGTTTTGCCACGTGTGGAACGGGTGCTGGGGAAGTCACTGCTGCGCCTGAGCCCTGGCCCAGTGAGGCCCCGGCACAGGACACTCCCGCCCACTCCTGGGAGTGTAGAGTGTGTCTCTGTTTTGGACACCGTGTGCAGTTCTGTAGTTTGCTTTCTTAAATCTGCTTTGTATGTATGCATCTGTTTCTGCAGTTCTCGGAGCTGTTGAAGACATTCTTGTGCATTCCTTCAAGGAGGAGCTTTCAAAAGCCGCCACTGTGCTGGGAGGGGCTTGCCGGGGGAGGCCGCTGTCCGTAGTTTTCAGGGATTCAGGTCCTGAGGACAGTGGACAGACCAGGCCAGGCTGGCCCTGGGGGTGGGCAGAGCAGCTTGCCATGGGTGTGACCCTTCCACCTCGCACCTGGCTCTGCCAACCCTCGTGCTGGCACCTGCCGTGCTGCACGCAGATGCTGGTGTGAGAGAGAGAGAGAGAGAGAGAGAGAGAGAGAGACCTCCCTTCCTGGTCATCTGTGCTCTAGTTCAGGTGATGTCATTGACCACCACAGCGACTGCCTGGCTCACTCGTGTCTTCCCGTGCCTTGTCCCCACGTCACCTCCACCTGTCCGTCCTCTCCCAACCCCTCTTTCCCCTAGGGACGCTCCACATCAAATCTTTGCTGGAATAGCCATGGCCAGCGGTGCGCCCTTGAGAGAACAGAAGCCTCAGCTGAGGGTTCCTCTGTGTGCCTTTGGTCCACAGTGGTCCACCCATGGTCACTCTTACTGCTCTCGCGCAAATGGAGTGCCAAGCATTACAAGTAACTGCAGCTAAGTGCTCCCCCTCCCTTTTGGAAAGATGAAGACATGAGTGCCAGACTGGTTCGGGTGGGGAGCGTTGCTGTGTGCAGGCTTCAGTGTGGGAGTTCGGAGTCGTTTGCCCATGACTTACCCGTGGTGACCAACGCTCTCTGCTCCGCTCATGTTGAGCAGCCACTTGGTCATCTGTGGCGTGCCATACATCTGGCCGTGCTGGGTCATTTGTGCCCCAACTGTCCCCATGCGCTTTGCTCGGCAGCCCCTGTGGTGACCCATGCAGTCCTAAGCACCCAGGTCGGGGGTCAGTTCTTGAATCACTTTGCAGGTGGTCATAAAGTTGAGAACGGCCTTGAGAGAAGTTGGGGTGCCTGAGGAAGCGTACTTAGACCTCCTGTGGGTTTTGTTCTGGTCGCTTTGGTCCCTCTCCTCTTACTCGGGTCCCTGACAGTAGGTGGTTTGCTGGAGTTTGAGCATCAGACCTGGAGTCCTGCTGGGAGTGGGAGAGCTTGCTGGGGCCTCGATGTTGTAGCCGAATCTCCTCACCATGGTCTCCAGAGAAACTTAACCCAGCTCACATCCCCTGCACCCTCTCTCAGTCCCCTCACCATGTCTCCTGTGGCACGGCCAGCCAGGAAGTGGGTATGTAGATTAGAAAAGCCAGGTTGGGGCCCCCCGGGCAGTGTGCCTCCCAGCACACCAGGCTGCCTCCCTGTGTGACCTGGTGCTGCACCTGCTACCACCATCTTATCCAGAACACACTAACAGGGCCAGGCTGGCACCACCAACACCCGTGACACAGCCAGACCCCTCTGCGGCTGCCCTCACACATGTCCAGTTTGACCCGTGCTGCATAGAACACACAACCTGTTGGCAGTAATACATGCAGGCAGCCGTGCTGGCATGTGAATTCGGCTCTTCTCCCTGGGAGAGTGTGAAGCGGATGGCAAGGACCTTCCTGCAGTGGTCAGCAGGTTGCCTGCCTCTGGCAGCCCATGGCCAGCCCAGGGACTCCTCCCACCGACTCAGGCGGCCTTGCCCCCTTCCCAGTAGCTGGGGTCAACCGTTCCTGGAATTTATTGGGCTGAGGTTTGCTTCCAGAAATCCTTCCCTGTGTTTTCCATTCCCCAGGCCCGCATAGCTCAGGCTTCCCTGAGCGCACTCGACGTAGCACACGGGAAACTGTACTGGAGCCACGTGCATTTGCTTGAGCGTGGCCTCCGCAGGTCCTCTCAAGACAGAACCCCTGTCCGTCCCTGTCCCTTGGCGGAATGTACCTTTTGGGAGTTGGGGAGAGTTGGGCACCTGCTCTGTAAAGCTCACGGTGCCACGTGGGCATGCTTCCTGCACATCAGGCACTCGCTTGCTCTCTCTGCAACCATGCCTTCCCACTGCCCGTTTTGGTGATGTTTTGGGCTGGTAGGAGTCCTGGCAACCTCCCCTAGGGATGGTTGAGGTGATGCCGGCACATTTGGTGCTGCCCAAAGCCGTAAGCCCCAAGCAGGGAACTGTAGAACATGGCAGTCCAGCATGGCAGGAGGGCTGCCCAGCTGCTTCCTGCCCTTTCTCTGAGGCTCACTGTCCTGTTTGTCGCGAGGAGCAAGGCAGAGAGGGGACACGACAGTGCCCGTGGGGCTGAGATGATGCCTCTGGCCACTTTACACAGGCCTGCCCTATCTTGCAGCTCCACAGCCAGCTCTGGGGTGTCTGATAGCAGGCCCTTAGGTAGTGGGGCTCCCAGGTCCTGGGGAGCTCTGAAAGGGTACATCCCCCCACGCACACCCCACTTGGGCAGCACGTGGCGCTCATGTCCGCTGCATTCCAAGATCTGTTACAGATCCTCGGCGTGGGATTCTCCCCTCCCCAAGACAGGGAGTTTCCCAAGCATCAAATACATCAGCCTGAGTTAGTCCCTTGGCCAGCTACGAAAGCTGGTCCTTCCCACACCTCCTAACTGGACTGGTTCCCTTTTCTCCCCCTTATGGGCTTCCTCAAAGGAGGGGTAATTACCAGGCTAGGATTTGCTCATGAAAGTAGCCACGCACCGGCCGGCCCGAGTTGTTGCATTGAGTCCATCTGTGCGGAGCCCCGGGGGTGAGGCATGGTTTGCCAGCGCTGGTCAGAGCTGAGCGGGACAAAGCCTTCTGAAGCTCCCAGCAGCGCTCCTGCACCAGGGACACCAGGGCGACCCTGGCCCTAGTATTGTCGGAATTCTGTCTGAAATGGCCTGTGGAGAACCCTGAGCCCTGGAGGACTTGTATGAGGTTTTGTTATGTTAATTATAAAAACCGTAGGAATCCCTGCTGCGGGGGAGGGTGGGGAGGGATTAATTTACACTATTGCTTCTGTAGTATTGCATCACCAGGAGCAACTGTCCGCTGCTTGGGACTTATCAGGCGGAGCAGCGGCCCTGGTCCTCAGCCTGCAGCTGGGCGATGCTTTGCTCCGGCTTGTTCTCTAGATTGATTGATCTCAGTGCTTCCGTTCCAAGCGATGGGGCATGGTGGATGTGTGCATGTTGCCACATTTGTCCTGAAATCGTGAGGACTTACAGAGAAACCAGCGTCCCACAGGTCTGCAGAATGCCGCTGGCTTCTTTCAGACCTAAAGTGCTTCCCCGAGCTAGTTCTTGGTCCCCTCGGTGTTGGTGAAATCAGCCACGCGTTGAGAATACTACAGAGCTGCACTGTTACAGTATGGGTAGTTGAATTTGAACTTGGTCACCTCACACACAAGTGGTTAGTGAACTGTGCCTCCCATTGTGGTTCTCAAAGGAGACAGGCCCTGATGGGGGTGGGTCAGGATGCCCGTGGCCTTAGGACCCAGGGATCAGCCGGAGCCACATGGTCTCTTGGACACGGTCAGCGTTGGGTCGGCTCCCGGAGGGAACACCAGGAGCCAAGGGAAATCTCCCATTTTCCTTACACCGTGTGAGAAGGGGTTGGAAGATGGCAGGAAGGGAAGGCGACCAAGAAGCATGGAGTGGAGAGCCGAGTGCAGGTGCCCTGCGCAAGGCAAGGCCGGAAGGTCCCGAGGCTGGGCTAAGCCAGGCCAGGCCGGTGGTCGGTGTTCTGCACGAGAGGGGGCGCCCATTCGCCCTCCCGGGATTGCAGCACTCCCCTGACTTCCGCTTCTCCATGGTTCTCGCCACATCCGAACGTGAGCTCATTACAAAACGGTAGAAAGTACGTTGCATGCAATTCATGGCACGCACACGGTTACTGAACTTGGCAAATGGAATTTGTGTTATAGCACATTAAAATCTGAAACTGAAAGAAAATGGTTCTGACTTACAAGTGTGGCACGAGAACATGGAGGGGAACGTAGGTTTTCTTCTGGAGGGCGTCCGCCCTCGGTGTTCCTAGAGGTGCGGTGTGTGGAGCGCGGTGTGTCCCCCAGGCCTCGGATGACCGCTCATCTCCTCGCGGCCACTCCTGTTACACGTGTGAGTTCACGTGCACGCTCCAGGGAGAAGCTTGTTGAATCTGTGCGGTGTATACAGAGGTGGTGAGAGAGGCCTGAATTCACCCAAAACAAATGTCTTCTGTTGGAGACGGCCGAGGCATGAGGGAGGCTGGAAGGGGCCCTGTGCCTGCTGTCTGCCTTCGCGGGGCTCACCCTGGCTCCCCTCTGTCTGCAGGGCATGCTGCTGAAGCGGAGTGGCAAGTCGCTGAACAAGGAGTGGAAAAAGAAGTATGTCACCCTGTGCGACAACGGTGTGCTGACCTACCACCCCAGCTTACACGTGAGTCCAGTCCCCTGGGGCAGCCAGCAGGCACTGGGTCGGGTGCCAGGGGCAGGCTTGGTAGAGGATTTGGGCTTCTGCTCGGTGGAGAGAGGTCACATTGTCCCCCACCTTCCTCTGAAAGGTGTGTCACTCCACCGCCGCTGCCCCCCATTCCCTTCGCTTACTGCTGACTCCTGAATCCCACAGAGAAGTGCAGGAACACACACAGACCAGGCAGGGTGTGAACAGAAAGCAGAGTGACCCGGGCGGGCGGAGGTGGCGCCGCAATCAGGCTGCCCTCTGGGTGCCAGCATGCCCTAAGGGCCCACCTGCTGCAGGTCCTGGCTGCTCCCTGCAGGTGCCCCGGGAGCTAGCAGGTGATGGCCAAAGGAGGAGAGCTCCTGCCTCTGTCTTGGGAGACCCAGAGGGAGTTTGGGCTCCTTGCTTCAGCCTATCGTGTCCTCTGCTGTTGTGGGCAACTGGGGAGTAAGAGTGGGGGAAGAGAGAGAGAGAGAGAGAATATGAGAATCTGTCTGTCTTTGCCTGTGCCTTCCAAATAAGTAAGTGAACCTTTTCGAGAGAAGAGTGTGTGTATCAGCAGGCCCTCTGTGGAGGAGGAAATTGCATCTGAGCCCAGGGTTCAGCTCTGTGTGGTTGAAAGCCAACAGGGGAAATTCTGTGCAGACTGGACTTGGTTTCTCTGCCAGTTCGCGAGGCAAGATAATAAAACATGTTACGCTCATGAGTTCTGTAGGATGGAGTTATAGAGATTAGTCGTCATCTTGCGGAGGCCGCGTGCCCGCATCCGCCCTGCACGCCATTCCCCTTACAGCGGAGGCGCGGCGCTCGCTCCCACAGCAGCACATCCCAGGATCTCTTGTCTGACGTGCAGAAATAGTAGATTAGGCCTTACATGTGAGTTGACCATTTGATGTTACCACCGTGTCCAGCAATATGTTTTAAAAGTTTTTTCAAGTACTTTTTGAAATTGCACGGTTAACATTAAGACGTTGGAAATATGCACCTGGAAGGAGACCAGGAGTCACTCCTGGAGTCGCACCTGAGGGCGTGACTGTTCCCGCCAGCTGTGCCCTGCTGTCCTCGCTGCCCGTGTAGCTTGCCCTGCCCACAGACATGTGCCCACCTCCGGCCCCAGTGTGCCCTGGTGTGCCCCGGTGGCTCCGAGAGTATCCCAGAAGCAATTAAATCTGCTGTGTGGATTCTGCCACTGACAAAAGTAGCTGGAACCCAGGCCTCTCTCCTGGTGACAGTGGGTCCTGTCCAGCTGCCTGGAGCAAGTTCCCCTGATCAGCTGCCTGGGGTGAAGGGGGCGCCGTCTTTTCTGGCCCTGGGTGCATGTTGTCCAATTCACAGAACATGTGTACCCGTTTTTGTCTGGCTGTATTCAAAGCAGCCTTTATCTCAAGAACGATTCATTTGAGAGATGGGAATGTGGACTCCCATCTCCTGGAGCCCACTTCGTCTGCACTGGACCAAAGCCGGAAGCCAGGAGGTCCCTGCAGGTCTCCCGTGTGGGTGGCGGGCACCCAGACTACAGCATCCCCGCCTGCCAGATTGCTTGTTAGTGTGAAGCTAGAATCAGAAATAAGACTCAACTGGGCCCTCCCCTCACTGCCGGCATCTGTAACTGCTGGGCCAAATGCTCACCCTGCCTGTTTTAGGATGGGGGAGGGACCCTTTCCATTATTGCAGGTAGCAAATGGTTCCTTTGTTGTCTGATTCACTTGTGAGTGGGAATTAACCTCTCCCTTTTATCTGACAAAGGTAGCCAGAGATTTTTAAGAACCACATCCCCAAAACTCCCCCATCATTTCCTGAGGCGTCTGACTTGTTTCTGATGCCCTGTGGGATGCCCCTGCTTGGGAGGCGTGTACACAGGTGAGCCCCGAGTCACAGTGGTTGAACATCACAACAGCACAAAAGCAGACCCGCACAGGCAGTCTGTCCTCCCTCAGTGCGGCGTGGCACGGATGGAGGAGAGCTGTCCTACAGGGTGTTACAGGAGTGTGTGACACGGCCTCTCTCCATCCTAGGCGAGGGCAGGGGCTCTGGGCCAGGCTAGGATCATGGGCTTCTACAGGGTGAAGGACACGGAATGAGCTCGCAGCCTGTGATGAGCTTGTCAGGAAACAGGCCTGACAGGTCGCAGTGCGTCCCTAGAGTAGATTTGAAATTACAGAGCTCCGTGTTTCCCTGTGAGACACACAGAGACACATACTCCTTATTACAGGAAGGAAATCCCTCCAGGCTGATTTCCTGGTCGTTGGTTTAAGGACAGCATGTTGCCTTGCCCGGTGTCCTCCAAATCAGGGAGGCAGCTCGGTCCCGGAGACCCCCAAGAGCCAGCCTGCAGCTTTCCCAGGCCTGTCCCATGCCGGTCACTCTGGGTGCACAGTCCCTTCCATACCAAGTGTCCTGCTTCCGTGTTGGGAGAGGACATCCCTGTTGGGGGTTTAGTCCCTCCTGAGCCCCTACCAGAGGGCAGAGCCCTGACTGTTGACCCCGTGGCTCTCTGTGACCCAGAAGAGCACTCGGAGTGGCCTCCCTGGCTAAGCTCACTGGCCAGGGCTGGATCTGTGCTAGAAAGTTCCTGTTGGGGTGATGTCCCTGCCTGCTTGTCACCCCGCCTCTCGATTCCCCATGTCAGTGTTGCAGAAATCTCCATCTGTAGCTGTAGGCATGCCTGGTCCTCCCCTGGTTGCCCATCCCAACCTATGCAGTCTAGAAAATTCCAGAAGCTGCTAGAACCCAATGATCCCAGTCTACACAGTCCCCTCTGTGGTTCCCGCTGCCGCTTGTGTCCGAGCTGCATGTCAGCCGGAAGTCAACTGAGATGATCCCTGCGGCGACGATGGCACCGGTGGTTTGGGGGGCGGGAGCTCTGGGGGTCAGAACCCCCATGTGGATCCTATCACACAGAACCCCCTATCACAGGCCCCATTGTCAGGGTGCCGAGGGCCCTGCTGCTGCAGGGGGGCGTGAGCCTGTGTCCACCTCTCTGGGTGGATGTGGGTGTTTGTCAAGAGTGCACCAGCCTATCCCACTACACAGTGAAGTCCACTGACTTCTTACAAAAGATATAGCTCTCTTTTTTTGAACAGCAGAGGCGTTATACAGAATAGGGGACAGATGTTTCACCTGCTGGTTCACTCCCCCAGATGGCTGCAACAGCCGTGACTTCCTGCAGATCTCCACACGGGAGATCCAGACCCCTGGGCCGTGCTCTGCTGTTTGCCCAGGTGCATTTGCAGGGAGCTGGATCAGAAATGGGATAGCCAGGACTCAGAACAGCACCTATATGAGATGCCGGGATCCAGGCCATGGCTTTAGCCACAACGCCAAATGACAGCTGCTGTCAACTGATTTTCCAAAAAGAACTAATTGGTTGACCAAGAACAGAACAAAACAGAACCAAAGGCTAGTGTGCTACTCCAGTTACAGATGCTTACTGTGTCACTGCATCCCTGTGTTCATAGCAGGGGAACTGCAGGATCCACTCACAGGGCATCGGGGCAGGTGCCCAAGTCGTGCAAAACAGCGGTGTGCTTGCCTGGAGCCCAGACACTCCTGTGTGTGTGCAGTCATGCGCTTCCTTACAGCTCACACGCTGAGTACACTGTGTGAGCAGGTGTCAGGGCACATTGTTGAGGCAACGCTGCATGTGTTGGGCACAGAGCCGGGGGCTTGGGGAGCGTGGGCAGTCCTCCCTTGGTTGGCTGTACACATGTGTAACTAGCAGGTAGGGGAGCCGAGGGGATTCTGCCGTGGGATTGGATGGAGAGGTGGGAGTGCCACACCCAAGGATGTAGCGCTGAGTAGGATCCGGGCAGCAGCCCCGGCCGGGCAGCAGCCCCGGCAGTCCATCACGGCACCCTTAGGCCACCTTGGTCCTTGGCCCTCTTGGGGAGCTAAGGAGCCCAACCTCTGTTCTGAACAAGGTGGTGTCGGGGGACTTCAACTCTGGGCTGCTTCAGCAGGTGGCTCGGCCCTCCCCTGTCCCCTGATGAGGCCATGCCACACCTGTCACCTCCCCACCCACAGGTAGGAGACAGTGTTCCCAGAAGGGGCACCTCTGTGTGTAAGAGCTGCCCATGAGTGGCCACACCTCAAGGGGATGCTGGCACACCGCTGAGCCCATTGGGCAAGGCAAGTTTGGGGTCTGCCCTGGCAGTACCTCATGTTGACCTGATGGCTTGCCTGCTGTTGAGGTGACGCTGCCCCTCTGCCTCCTACCTTTGTGGACATGGTTGTGATGTTCGTTTTTAACCGTGTTGGAGTTCCCAAACTGGGTGCCCGTCTTAGCCACAGGAGGGACTGGGAGCAGGGCAGTGGCCAGCAGCTGGGTCACTGTGGGCCTGGGCTGCCCCGCCTGTGTGAACAGCTTGCAGTCCCCGTGCAGGTGCCCACCACTTGCAGTCAGGCCACAGCGGGTTCCTAGTAGGCACCCAGAGGGAGATGCTGAGATCCGGGCCATGGAGAACGTTGAGTGCCAGGTGAAGGGCCTGCTGCTGTCTCCTGGGTCGCTTCAAGCCAAAGCAGTGGCACCGAAACTCCAGCCCAGTCTGGTGTACGAAACGGACTCATGCGGGGAAGTATCCGAGGCTGACGTCACTGAGCATGGTCAGTTTCTTGGTAAGCCGGGCACCGTGCCATGCCAAGCCAAGCCATGCCCAGCTCAGCTCATCCAGCTTTCCTCTTCTGGAGGCAATAATGGAATAAAACCAGCCCAGCCTAGAGTGAAAAACTCGTATGCTTTTGTCTACACTGCTGGGAGGTGGCAGCTGCCCTGGTTTGTCTGGGACTCACGGCTTCTCTAGATTCACCTTGCTAAAACCACGTGGGGCCCGGCGACCTGGGACCCAGGACCGAGCAGTGTGGTTGGCTCTCATTGCCTCGTGCCATCTTGCCGAGAGGACCCCAGCATTCAGAGAGAGCTGGAAGGATAGGGGACACGCAGGGCAGCGTCTGCAGCTGCTCCGTGACCTGCCTCTTGGTTA